CGTGGATTATATTTATACATAAAACTTTTAAGAAATGTCTCGTTATTTATTTAAGGACAATTCTTTAAAAACAATATGCAGACATGAGAAAAAAATAAATTTAAACAGGAAATGGCGCCCAATATAAAAGAATAGTGGATTACCGTAATAAGTGGCTCAAATTTTAATTATTTTTCATGAGAAGATTTGCTACTCAATGAGAAACCAAAACAAAAAAATAGTCATTTTTGTTGAAAAATACGTCCACCAAATTCTCCAAGAATACCGAAATGCAGAAGGTAATCTTTATATGGAGGCTACCCTAATATATGAACCATAATTAACGATTTTCAGTGTGAAGATTTACTACCCCATGAGAACCCAAAATAACAGCCAATTTGGTTGAAAAATGTCAACAAAATACCGAAATTTGGAAGGTATCCCAAAATAGGCTCTCTATGTGCATAGCGAGTAATTTTTAAGAAGTGTTTTCACAAATTACCAAGGGAAGTAATTTAAAAAATATTTTTTAAACGATTTTACCAAAAATGTGAATAGATCTATTACTTCATTTTCATAGCACATAAATGATGCATGGGAATTGTTTATTTTTTTTTTTATGGAATGTCAAAGCAGATATTTTCTAACAACTTTAAATGAAAATCATATTTTTTTGGAAAACAGACACAATGATACAAATATTACAAAAATCTCTACAGATCATGGTTTAAACTTGGATTTTTAAAAACTTCTATTCAAAAATATATCTACTTTATATATATATAGATAATATTGTTATATTAAATAATATATTATCTTCATTTCAGACAACTCAGGTGTAAATGTATGGATATCACGTAAAGATTATATATCGGATATATAAAAATATATACGCCTGATACAATGTCTTATAAGGTAAAAATTAAATACTTTGCATGATAATATATTTTACTAATTTTTGACTTTTTATTACACATCGAAAGCTTGCCTTTCACAGGAAAAATATTTAAAAAAATATATTTAAAAAATATTTCAAAAAAAAAAAATAATAATTAAATGAAAATATTCCAAAAAAGTTGTATTTTTTTATATATTCTAAAAATAATTTCCTTTATTTTTATCACTTTTTTATTTTAGAATCGGTTGTGAATTTGTTAAATATTAAAAGCAAAATACCCAATCATCCCAGTTTATTAGATTTTTAAGGTGAGCTCTAATAACCCACCCTATTATACATTTTTTATTTCATCAATTACTAACTATTGCCTTCAATTTTCAGATTATATTATAATGGCTAAAGTGCATTTATTGTTCCATAACCGCATAGGGAAAAGGACTCAAACAGGAGATATAAGTAATCGAATCCAAAAAGGAGGCTATCTTCTCGCCTCGAATGGAACAACAGTAGTAGTACCTAAGTTATCCAAAGGAAATACCTAACTAGTGTGTGTGTGTGAGGACATTCTACTTATACACCAGATAATACAAACGCCCTATGTTTAAATACTATTAAATTATTTACTTTTAAGATTACAACCAAAGACCAAACCAAACGATTATATATCTATCATTCATCAATTTGGAATATTAGAGTATTCCAAAATTGAACAGAATCAGTATTATTAAGTAGCAGAGGATTAAAACTCGATTAAATCCTTTCTATCGATTCATCAACATCACCCTCATCGACTAATACAAATGTATTACTATGCAATACATTTTCATTTTTTGGACATTTTTTACACACAACTACAGACATATATTTTTGTTATTCATTCAGATATTTTGTGGTCGAAGGCGGTTATCCGGATCCACAAGATCCCTCATAATATCCGCCTCTTGGACTATGAAAAAATATAAAGACAATGTGATGATTTAATAGTAGAATATAAAAATTATTATTATTATAAAGATTATTATATATTATTATATACATACATGATATTTTTTAATTCTTAAGGCTAATATTAGTTGAGTTGAAACCCAAAACAAACATCAAAATTATTCTCTATATTAAACGACAATAAAAAATTTATAAAATTGTAAAACATGTGTACTGGCTTCTGCTTTCTGGATTTCCACGATATAGGACACCCTCCAATTAAAAATATAAATCCGGTATATGATTACCGGTCTACTGGGTTACCAACCCAGTCTGCATTAAAGTAACCTTCCAGGTTACTTCCATTAGGGTAATATATCAGTTTCATGTTGATCGATCCGGCCAAGTATCTCAGAATATGTTTTAGACCAACCATATCTGCCTTTCGAGGGTCAGCATTTTTCTGAGCTAGTTTCGACACTGAATGCAAGATGTCAGGTCTTGTAGACGTTGCTAAATATATCAGGGCTCCAACGAGATATTGGTACTCGGTTTGATCTACACGTTCGTCATCGTCAATACAATTTACATTGCAGCCTGGTTCCAATGGTACTTCATGTGTTTTACAATCTTCCATCCATAGCAAATCACGAATGTATTGGCTTTGCCCCAATTTTATCACCTTCGGTTTCGATCTCCATACCCAAGAAGTGGCCTAACAATCCCTTATCGCTGACATCGAACTCAATTGCTAAATTATTTTTGGTCTCCAAAAAAAAAAAAAACATTTTGTTTTGGACCCTATAATAATATCATCTATGTATACGGCCATCAATACTATCTTGTTTCTCCTCATGCCTTTGTAGAGACAGGGTTCGTTATCACATGGTTTGATGTTCATCTTAAGCAATGTGGCATCTAGTTTGGAGTTCCACTAATGTTTCAGCCTTATGGAGACGTAGAACTTTATTCGGCGAACCATTTTCCTCAAAATTCGTTGGCTGCTGCATATATACTTTATCATGCAGTTCACTGTTCAAATATGCAGTACTGACATCGATTTGATGTAAAAACATTCCTTCCTTCACAGTCAGTGCCAATAAAATACGAATCGTTGAGTAGCGAGCGGCAGGTGAATATATCTTGTTAACATTTATTCCGTATCGTTGGTGACAGCCTTTGGCTACTAAGCGAGCCTTATACCTCTCAATTTTACCATTTACATTCCTCTTTATGTCATAGACCCACATACATGGAATAGCTCTTTGCCCTCTTTGAAGATTCACCAGCGACCAAGTCTTATTCTTGCAAAGAGCCCGATATTCATCTTCCATTGCCTTTAGCCATTTCTCTCCATTATTACCAGCTATTGCCTGCTCCACCGTATTCGGAATATTTTCATCAACAGCATGACATAGGACCTCTTTAGGATGCTTTCGTGGACGACCAGGCTTTCCCTTGCGAATAATTGTAGGCGTACCCGCACCAACTTTCTTCGGCATATCCTGTGTAGCAGCTGTTTTCCCATCTCTGGACTCATTTTCAGCTGTTTCGAACCCTTCGAAGTCACTTATATCAGCCTCGGAATACACTGCACTTTCAGTTCCATAGTAATTTCCAGCACCAGATATTTGGCTTCGATGTAAATTATTGTCTGTGACTGTTTTATTACCATCGGATTCAAATTTTGTCTTGCAGAATATAATCAACAAATTTATAACTCGTGGAAAATTCTTCTTCATCAGATCGCTCAATGCATTTACCAAAACGATTCTCATCAAAAAGCACATCCCGGCATTCGATGACCTTATTTTTATCCGCATCATACAGACGGTACGCCTTAAGCTGTCGATAAATATCCAACCATCGAATTTGGATTTATTTCCAGACTTATCTAAGGCCACAGCACATGCTCCAAAGATCCTGAAATGTTAAACGCTAGGCTTTCATCCATACACGTTCTTCATACGGCGTTTTGTTTTCAAGCTGCTTGGTATTTATATTTCTAATATAAATGGCGGGGTTAATTGCCTCTGCCCACAAAGCTGTTCACAACGCATCTAGGCTTTCATCCATACACGTTCTTCATACGGCGTTTTGTTTTCAAGCTGCGTGCTGCGTAAGATATATATCAAAACTCGAATTAATATATTCACTCCCATTGTTCGAACGTAGTGATTTTATCTTGCAGCCTGTCTGCTTGTCAATTTGGGCTTTGAACATCTTAAACTTTTCAAATACTTCCGATTTCGTCCGCATGAAATATACAAATATCCTTCTGGACTTGTCGTCGATAAATGTTACAAAGTATTTGGATCTTCCAACTGAGGGAGTTGAAGTTGGCAAACAGTTCTCTGCCTCGCTGTCTAACGCCTCTGTCTCTGCCACCGCCAACATCGTCATCGCTTGCTCTTTGTTGCTTTTCTTCTCGCACTTATTCGCATACTGTCCCATTAGACCACAGTTGAAACATTTTCCTTTGACAAGCTAGGAAGATCATCATCACGCGTTTCCATTGCGATCATAAAATTATCAAATTCCTTAGGAAGGCTAGACATGAGCATAATGATCAGAAGCTCCTCCTTAATCTCTATACCGGTTTCATGCAATTTCTCGTACACTTCCGAGAACTCGTTCAATTGTTGCACCACATTACCATTTGACGCCATATTCAAATTTAACAATTTCTTATACAAGGAAACTTTTTGAACCGAATCCCTCGGCATGTAGACCTCTTCCAGTTTTTTCCAGGCTTCGTGTGAAGTTTTCGAAAGGGATTTCGAGGATTTTTAAAATTATTTTTTCAATGCCCTAAGCAAGGCGTGGATTTTTTAAAAACTATTTTTTCAAAGCTTTATTCCGATCGTGGATTTTTTAGAAATATTTTTTCGAAACCTATCCTATCATTTAAAAATATTTTTCGTATGATTTTAAAACTATTTCGATTTTATTATTAAAATATATTCTATAAATAATACAAATAAATAATTCGTCAAGTCATCGGGACAGTTATTTCTTACAAATCTAAAAAATACATAAATTTCGATTTAAAACAAAAATTATTTTCACTGGAATGTAATCGATTATTAAGGAATACAAATTATTAACTTAAATTGCAATACAGTCGTTTAAAAGAATTAAAAAAAACAAAAACTTTTGCTTTGGATGTGATGTTAACTTCCTCTGCTCTCTTCAGAAACTACAGCACAATCGTGGGTTCATCTTCGACCGATTTGGTATTTTTACGGCGACGACTGGATTTAATTTTCGACAGGACACTGTAGGCCTGTTGGATTTCAATAAATCTTTGATTGGCTGCCGCCCGCTGAGATTCGTCCTTCACCTTGTCGGGATGGAATTCCTTGGATAGCTTACGATATGCACTCGTGATTTCCGCTTGCGAAGCCGTGGCACTAACACCCAACACCTTATAGGCATTACGTTCACCATCCACATCCATGGATTCGAATATCTCCTTCCACGTTTCATACCATCCGTGGTGCTGAGCATAATTGTAGGTATCCTGCAAAGCCTGGGCAATATCAGTCCACCAGGCGGAGGCAAGGAAATTTTGGAATGCTTCATGTATGGGTACCTCATTGCCATCCTCATCGGAAATGGTGCCGTTGAAGTACAAGAAACAACCCCACAATGAAAAGTAGATACAGAGGGCACCCGTGAATGTCAAGGTCCTTTGCATGGCGCTGCGACGTTTGGGTGGTGTACGCAACCATTCCTTGGAGTAGTGATCGAAGACCAATGCAGCAGCCAAGGAAGATATCAGCAAGGTATAAGTTTCATCATAAATAAAATAGCGTACGGGATAGGCAGCAAAAGCAGCCAACAGACAGTGCCAGAGAACACCCCGCTCACGACCAATATTACCCACCGTCCAAACACCCAAAGCAATGAAAACAGGTATCAGCCAGTGAAGAAACGAAAAGTCAATGCCAAAGAACACCGTTTGCGGTATGGCCATTTCGAAAAGTTGACCAAACAAATAACCAATCATAACTTCGCCAACAAAACGCCTACCCGAATAAGGTGGTTTGCGGAAATGTTGCAACTTCTTGACAAATTCTTCAATAAAACGTGGATCTTCATTGGCATCACGAACATAACCGGGTATGGCAAAAACTTCAAATATCCAACCGATACCAAAGTAGCCACCGAGGGTACACCACCAAACAAAGGCATGACGATCCCGCCGCAAATAGATGTGATGTAGTCCGAGAATACCACCGAATAGCCATAGTATATAGGCAACAATTATGGATTTTTGTGGTGGCAGGGCATTGACATTCGGTTTTGATACTTTGCCATTTTGTTGTTGTTTGATCTTTCCATTTGCCGCTGGCTGGTGTTTGCCATTTTGTTGGGACTTCGGGGATTTTGGTGAGGATGTCACTGCTGCGGTTCCACTCTGTTTTTCCTTGGACATTTTTATTTATTATTTTTTTTTTTAATTTAATTCTGAAATAGGTAAACATAAATCTTTTTCTATTAGAAATTGGTTCGAATTTAGTGGATTATTTTTCAGCCCATCACCATTACCGCATGCCTTAATTTTAGAATTCAGATTTTAACACTTAACTTAAACAAGCATTCCAATTCACCAAAAGCATAAACTCATTATTTTTTCAAGGCCCTAAGCAAGGCGTGGATTTTTAAAAATACTTTTTTCAAGCAGGGGCACGGTATAGAGTGTATACCACCTAGGCAATATGAGGTCAGTCAGAATAGCAATTAATCGGCTGAAGAATAATAAAGCAACAGGTGCCGATGGATTACCAGCCGAACTATACAAGACCGGTGGTCAGATGCTGGTAGGGAGCATGCACCAGCTGTTTAGTACAATTTGGCTAGATGAATGCATGCCCAATGATTGGAACCTCAGCATCCTGTGGTTCCGCGCACAAAAAAGGAGACAAGACGATATGTGCCAATCATAGATGAATAAGTCTCCTTCCCATCGCATATAATGTGCTATCCAGCGTGCTGTGTGAACGACTGAAGCCAATGGTCAATGACATTATTGGACCATACCAATGCGGCTTTAGGCCTAGCAAATCCACCATTGACCAGATTTTCACACTGCGCCATTCGACATCCCTATCCGTTCAGAGGTGTTTAAAGCCATACAAAATTAATACGGCTATGCAGGATAATTTTAACTGACACAAGGTCAGCAATTAAAGTAGGAAGGGACCTCTCGGAGCCCTTCAATACCTAACGAGGATTCAGACAATGTGACAGTTTGTCGTGTGACCTGTTCAACATTCTGTTTGAAAATACGTCATACGAGATGCAAATGTGAACAGAAATGACACTTTGTTTAGGAGTCTCCAAAGTGGGATTAGCAGTAAATGGCGAAAAGACCAAGCTGATGGTATCACCACGCAAGATGTCCAGTACACTCCGACCAACTGTGGAACTTGAAAACTATAGCTTCGAGGTAGTGAACGATTTTATATACCTCGGTACCGCCATGAACAAAACAAATGACATACATTTTTAAATTCGGAGAAGGATTGTGATGGCCAACCGATGCTACTATGGTCTGGGCAAATAACTCAAAAGCAAGTCCACCTCCCGCCAGACCAAACTTTTCACACTCTACAAGACGCTGATACTACCCGTGCTGTTGGATCTGAATCTGAAGCATGGGTACTTGCACAAGCACTTGGAGTGTTTGAGAGAAAAATTCTCCGGAAGATGTATGGGCCGATCTGCGTCGATGGTGAATATCGCCGTCGAATGAACCATGAGTTGTACCAGCTATTCTCGGACATCGACATTGTTAGACGTATTGAGCTCCAGCGACTACGTGGGTTTTAAAAGGCGTGGGGTTTTCAATGCCTTAAACAAGGCGTTTTCAAGCCTCTATACAAGGCGTGGATATTTAAAAATATTTTTTCAGGCAACCTCACAAGGTGTGGATTTAAAAAAATATATTTTTTTCAAGCACCTATTTATGATGTGGATTTTTAAAAAACTATTTTTTTCTTCGGTTTAAAAACTTGTCCAACATTCTCAAATAATCAAAAATTGTAGGGCATCGTTATATGAGGGTTATATCTAACCATGAACCAATATTGTTTATATCCAATTTATAGCCAAACAAATCATATTAAAGCCGAATCGATTGGAACTTCCGTTCAAAATACCCCCCAGTTATAGTAAATAGTTTAGGGACATTTTCGAGTGCTACATATTTCTTAATTGATCCAAATAGATAGATTCAAAATATGCAGTTTTAGCAGAATATAGAATTCAAAAATATAGTAAATATATACCCACTTAATTTCAAAACACAAAAAAAAGAAACTTCACATAACAATCTATTAAGCAATAAAAATTTTTACCGTTCCAGCATACATCCCTAAAGTATGTAGTAAGACAAATTCCACATAACAACATTATTCCATATTCCCCGTCATGCTTGGGCAAGATTCTTAATTATATTACAACAACATTCATTTGAAAAACAGAAGAAATAAACTGCAGTTTAGTGACACCATCAAAGTGATTTCTGTGGTAAACATCTATCTTGGGAGGCGGGGGTACGTGGGTTGCATTGGTTCTTGTGTTTCAAATTTTTTTTAGAAAGTTGTAGTACGAATTCTTTTTTTAATTGAAATCTAACAGTCGGTTTCCTTAATACAACTTCGTTGTTGCAATTGGTTCTTTTTTAGAATGTTTGGTGAGTTTTTTTTTAATTTGGAGTAAGTTTTTTTTAAAGTTCTAAACGAATGGAAGAAGAAACACATTCTAGGCTCCAGATGAGTTTCTGATTTTTTGTCTGTGAGGCTCCTGTGATTGCACAAATATTTTATCCAATTTTATGGTATAGAATCGATTTTATGTTAGTCCCTTAGGCTTGGAATTAACTCTGGTAGGCACGGGGGATTGACGGGAGTACAACTACATAGTTGGGTGCTATTGATTCTTTTGTTTGAATTTTTTTTTTAGAAAGTAGGAGTAGGAATCGATTCCATTTTAGTTCCGGCACTGAAGTTCTTGGTATTAACTATCACCAAATCTCACAGAACCAGGCTATAAAAACCATCTTTATCATTTTTTCTATCCAAGAAACTTATTTACCAAAATCTTCAATAGGCCACCAAATAAACCAAGATGATGCATGTCACTAAACTGCAGTTTCAAAACCCCAAAACCATTAAAACTAATAAATAAAGAAAAACATTGATATAAAATAAATAACAAAAAATAAAATATTTCACTCCACTTACCAGCTTAAATACTCCAATAGGAAATGTGCCGAAACAAAACTCCAATAAGAATAATTTTTTTCTCGTTGCAACGACGACGACTTTTCCAGACTATTTTTCTTTTCTTCTTTCAAGTTTGACTTCTTAACAATTTTTACGGTTACTAACTCCACCGTATGACTGTTGCGTTTCTTGTAGTTCTTCTTCTTGCTGCTTCAACAACTATTGGAATTCATTCAGCATTTACCATCATGCGCCCCGAGACTTTCTCTTTTCACGTCCGTCTGTCCGTCACAATCGTAGTAATACGTGCTGGATGGCTGGCTGGGTGTGTGTGTGCGTATGTTTCTTTTAGGCTTTCTTTCAAAAAGCCAACCAAAATAAACCAGGTATGATCAAGAAGCCACTTCCAAACAAAAACAGACACGTCAATTCCGGCCGCAATGCAATGCACAATTGTTCTTTTTTTGTTAAAATGTTAATCTTTTTTCATTTATAAATATCACGTTAATTGTTTTTTTTTATTACTAGTTCGTTATTTCTTTAAAATTACTATTTATTTTTAATTTTTCTTCTTTTTTTCTGCTTCTTCTTCTTCACTTGTACAAAACAGCGTCTTCACTACTTGCCGTCCCACAAAGAAATGCTTTTTACTGTTGTAATTCATTCTCTGGTTGGGTCTCTTGCTGTTTGGCACAATCAATCACAATAGAGAATGGTTCTCTCGTTCTCTTCCGCAGTAAAAGAAAACTTTCTCTTGATCTTGGTTTGAAATGAGTGTTGTCAACAATGAATGGACCGAAGGAAATTAATAACAAACATTAAAGGAATTTTTGTTATTGTGACCGTTGGAATGTAAGAAAAAGAAGGAATAAATGAAAAAAACAATAAAAGAAATAACACAAATTTTTAAATATAAAATTGAAGACGTCTTAAATAACGTCTATTAAATGAAAATTCCAATTAGAATAAATAAATTCTTGTCAAGAAAAACGCGCGCGCTCTCTCTCACTCCTTATCAGTAGAAGAAAACTTTCTCTTGATCATGGCTTGAAATGAGTGCTGTCAACATTAAGTTTTATCGATAGTTAATTATTTAATCGATTACATTAAAGAATTGATAGATTATTATTGTGGTCACTTAATTAAATGAGAAAAAATCAATTATTTTTAACAAAACGATGCCAATTATTAAATATCAACATTTATAACTGAACAAAAAAATTTCGCCAGCACTTCTTCAGTGGTAATCTTTCTTTTGATATTCAATGTCGTCTGCAATAACTCGCAATATTCGTCAGAGGGCCCCATTAAAGTAAAGTACTGTCATTTCGTGGCTTCAAAAATAAAAATATAAAATTGTTTTTTTTTTTAATATACACCTGAGACCCCCATAAAGTATATATGTATGATCAGAATAAAAATGTATGTCATTTGAAATCTCAATAGAGATCGCAATTTTTAATATAGAGTTCTGAAATGATATCACAGACAGTGGTAGCACTCCTTGGATATGTGGTATTGAAAATTATATCGGTCCACGTTTTTTGTGTAGCTCCCACATAACAGTACCTGCCTATATTTGGTATTTTGAAGCTTTTGGACATATTTTTGGTATTTTAGGTTTTTTACTGGATAAAAAACGTCCCATTAAAATTTATCAATATTATTCCACTTTTTACGGTAGACCCCAAATAACGGTACCTCCCAATATACGATAATTTGATCAGCTGTAATTTGGTATTTTGAGTTCTCACTGGGTAGAAAATCGTCCTACTAGAAATGAACAATATTGGTCCACTTTTAACTAAAAATTATCAATATAGGTCCATTTTTGCGATAGCCTACATATAACTGGTATTATTGTTGAATACGATTTTCATCCGAATTTGCTATTTTGGGTTCTCACAGGGTGGAAAATCGTCCTACTAGAAATTAACAATATTGGTTAACTTTTTACGATAGCCTCCTTACCAGAAACTATCATGATTGATCCATTTTTTACATGGTACAATTATAAAAGGTAACAGCAAATCCCAGCTGATTTGATTCCAACGTAATACTAGTGTCAATATGAATTTGACAAATTATGTTTTTAAAAATCACCCAATAGGAAAATTGGGAACGCATACAATTTGAAATTGTCCTTTATTAAATATGCTCCCGTATTCAGTTTACTCAATCTGTCTGCTGGGAAAGTTTGAGAAAGCAAATCTTTCTTCATTGAATAACTCGCAATTCCCTGCATTTTCATATGTGTTACACATATAAGTGGCAATTGTTCAATTATAGGAAAGACGTGGAAGCGATAGAAATATAAATTTGATAGATTTTCATTCATGTTTTTCAAATTTTATTTTGAGGATTCGAAAATATTTCATTTTCAAAATAAATATAATTTATTTGTTTGTTTACATTTACGTTGACACTAGTATAACTTACAAAAACAAATTTCCATGTAGTTGTTGTATCGTTTGTTGTACAACAACACTTGCTGTTACCTTCTATTATTATACCATGCATTTTTTAGGTTAGCCTCCATATAACGATACCTGCAAACATTCGGTATTTTGAAATATTTTAGATAAAAATTGACTGTTATTTTGGGTTATCATTGGGTAGCAAATCTCCTTACCAAAAACTATCAATATTGGTCTAAGTTTCAGGATAGACCCCATGTAGGGGTACAATATTCGGTATTTTGGATAAATTTTTCAACCGAATCTGGATGTTATTTGATTATATGGATTCTCATTTGGTACAAAATCGCCATACCAAAAAATGATAAACATTGACACAAATTTTAGGGTAACCCCCTTGGAACGGTACTCCTCAAATGTCAGTATTTTGGGGATGTTGGACGCGATTTTCATCAAAAATCAATATTGGTCTGTTCAAGGTAGTGTATGTAGTTTTGTATTCTGTATTTTCCTGAAAATTGCACAATCAAAAATCAAGGAATGTTGTGGTATGTTGAAGGTATACCAAGGTGATAAGTTTTTTTTTCATTTTTTCCGACGTTGTGAATGGCCAGCTGGTTTCAGTGTTTTTAGCAAAAACACCTAAAACTAATTTCTTCCGAATTATGCCAAATGAAAGTACGATATGTGATTTTTACAGAATCACCATTTTTGTCATAGGTTTTGCTAATTTTTATACAAATTTCAATTCAATTTCAATTTATTCAATTTCGAATTATGCCAAATTAAAGCACCTGTCAACTGAAAAGAAAACAATATTTAACAACTTACTTTGAAAGATAACCCTTTATTATGCGCCCACTTACCTCCTAATCCCTCATAACCAATTTGCATAAGATTCGGGTTGAATGAGTATGTGTCCCACATTTCCGCAACATTTGTAAGTACCTATTTCAAAGGACACAGTTTGTTTAATGTAAATATTTTCTAGAAGAAAAAAACAAAAAAATAGAAAACTTGCCCTCTGTGAGGTTTGAACTCACGACCCCTGGTTTACGAGACCAGTGCTCTACCACTGAGCTAAAAGGGCCACAATGCCTGCTTTGCCAAAGTGTTCACATAAACATTGCGGAAACAAAAGACTTGATGCCAATTCCGTCTTCACGTTACAGCCACTGCATTTTTGTATTAAATTTACAAAATATATTGAGTTTTTAACACTATGTTCAATTAAATTATTATTGCAATTATTTGTTGTCTTGATATTGCAAAAAAGTACACACAAATGAAATAATTGCTGATGTTGATGCAGGCGCAGCAAAGTCGATAACAATTTTGGCGGTGTTTTTCGCTATTGTGAATGATACACAAATGTCAGCCATATGATGCTTAGGTGTGTTCACATTGTGTGTGTATAATGGGGGATATTTGTTTCTTACAAATTTAAAAATGTTATAATGAAATTGTTTACCTTTTTTGTAAAAATCCAAGCTTTTTGATTAACAAAGAAATATTCTTCAAAAATTCTACACTTGTGGGACTTTAAAAAATCCACGCCTTATGGGTCCTTAGACAAATATTCTTAAAAAAAATTATTTTAAATTTGTTGTTTGGTTTTTAATCATCGTTTAATAAAAATCAAAATGTTTTCCTTACATCCACACATCTAACTCTACCCTAAATCATATTTAAATACCCCGCCTAACGGGTTTCGGGGCAAATAAAATCTTTGCCGGTTTGCACAGCTCCAAATCGGTACCCGGCCTCACCGCCAAACACAACATTATTTCCACCGATGATGCTTCGGTCCATACCGAATGTGATAGCAGGATGGTTGTTCTCAGCTTAACATTCGTTTCATGGGCCCCCTGTTCGGTCATGATTTTCTTAAAATCCGATAATTTCGGTACTACTGTATGTAAATGTTGATCGGGATATTTAATTTTTATACGCATATCATTCTTTTGCGACTCCTGGAGGTTATCGATTTCGGCCACAAAGGGAAGGGCGGCAATAAGGCCCGCCGTCACCTTAATAACATTATCCTGTGACATTTGTGGACACGGCTCCAAAATGTTGGCCTCACACATTTTGATATTGACATTTGGTGGTGGCATTCGCACAACGGACGGCTTCTGTACCAATGGGAGGATTTCACGAAATACTTTGCCGGGTTTAGGGTCAACAATACTGGCCAATTGATTTAATAGCTCTGTTGTTAGTTCATCTGGTTGAAAATCTTGTTTATCGTCTAGGAAATTGCTAATGTCCGAAGCAGTTTGCAATAACATTTGACAGGGGCCCAAGGCACTTTGAGAACGATCTCTTACCACGAGTACCAAATGTAAGGCGGATGCCCGAAGGCATATTTGTTTGACAAGCAACATATCGCTGTAGGTTAGGCCGGAGAAAATGTGTTGCAATTTGAGACAGTTGCGAACTAATTGGGCCAGGGATTCCTTAAGGGGGGCTCGGCTGTGTTGGGAGGTTGTACACGACTGCAGCTGTTCAATTTGTATTTGGGCGGCCAAAAAGGTTTCCAAAAAGTTGGCTGTGCCCAACATTTCGGGGTCTATTTCACCCAAACGCTGCAATTAGAAAAGATGAATGATTAAAATTTATATTTCAAAATGTTATTGAGAAAGCCCCGCCTATCTTACCTTCAAATTATCCTGAGCCGTTTTGAGCAGCGGCACCCGCCTCTCTTGTGTGGGTATGGAAAATATATCATTTATATGGGCCAACATGGTCTCCAAATATTCTCGCGAATTATTCGAACTACCCAAATCATCGATTGGTTTCTTCGTTGATGCCCCCTCAATGGGCAGTGGTGGTACCAAACTGGGCATTGCATCCCTCAGATAGGCATAATGTTTCAGTGTGACATCGGGAAACAAACTTATGATTGGCACCAAGCTAGCCGCGGCATTGAAGAGCAAAATCAAAATACACAAATACGAAGGATCTTCAACATCTCTCTCCGCACTATCGAAAAATGGATGATCCTGCAGCAAATGTGACGTTACAGCCATACACAGGTGGGGATGTTTTTGGCCCACCTTACGCATACAACCGAATGCCGACAGTTTGTCCTGTGGATATTTGGCCAACACATCGAGTAGCTTCTGTACCACCATTAGCAGACATGCCTGGGTGGACACCCGACAGGCACCCAACATAAGATGTAAACCTTCGCGCACCTCCACCGAGAAATCTTCCAGCGAGGATAACATAATTTCCAATTGATCCTCTCGCAACACAATGTGTCGCGCTATGGCTGTCAAACTGTAAATGGCCTTGAGGCGTACCTCCTCAATTTCATCATTGAACATGTCGACCAAAAAATCCAAGCAGGTCACCGCAAAATCGGGGTGCTTTAACGCCAGTTTACACATCGAATCCACCGTGGCAATACGCACTTCCATAAATTCATCTTCCAGGCCGTGGACCAAGGCGCCACAGGCCCCACTGGCTATCAATGATATGGTCTTGGCATCCAAATGCTCCTGGGGAGCATCATCAGCCCAACGCTTTCCCGATGACCATTCACCCGAGGCCACCAATTGGGCACCCCGTTCATGGGCCGTCTTCTTACGTCTCAAATTACTCATCAACTTCTTGTCCAACGTCTGATGCAGAAACTCCGGTCCCACCATTGTCATTTCACCCAAATGTTCCGCCGCTTGGACCCGTATTTGTATCGAGAGGTCACACAATGCTCCACACACCTTGCTGAAGGCGGCATCTATGAGACGCATTTCTTCATCATCCTCCGCCGTGCCACACACAATCATGTGCTCCGGATGCGTAATGCCCAATTGCAATACCAATTGTAGGGCCTGTTGCCGGACACATTCATAATCATCTTGCATGGCATCCACTGCCCTTTGATAGAGCGAAGGTGACAACACTGCTCCTCGTTCACCCAAACACAGAATGGACCTTAAACTTTGAGCCCTTACCCCAGAATCCTGAGAATCGGCATAATGGCCAATGGTATCGATGACACCCTTCTTGGCATCACTCAACGCCACAAAGGCGGCCAACACCATCAGGGCATTCTTTTGGGTATGATGTGATTCCGACGAGAGCTGTTGTTGGGCAAAATGGGCAATCTTCGTCAGATGCATTGTGGGTAGAATTTTCAAGTTATTCAAACCGATCTTATGCAGACTGCTCAGGCCCTGGGCAATAACCTTCTGTGACTTTTCATATTTCAAGACGCCAATTATTTCGTCAATCAGTGTATTCACTACTTCGGATATCCGAACTTCTGATAGATCAGCCAATAGGCCCAAAATCATTACCCGTATTGTGGTATCACCATCCCGTTCCTGACGAAAGAGTTCGATGAGCTTGTGGACCGCTTCATGAATCTCTGGCAATTGGCAATCGGTCAATACCAATTCATCGGCTATCTTGACCAGGACATCGAGTAGCTCCTTACTGTTTTGTGGTGAAATTGTCTCCAAGACATTGAGGGCCTGTTGCAGTTTGCCACTGGTGGTGGCATTTTTTGTTGTTTGAATACGTATCTTTTTGTGTGGTGGCTGTTGGCCGACTTCTATGGTCTCGGTAACGGACAGTGGACGTTTTGTGGCCATTGTGACAGTGGCCAATGAGGCTAATACTTCAAATGAATGGAACTTTTTGGACCAAGACGGTCAAGACGCTGCCTTTGCTTTCGTTTCTTTAGGTTACAATGCCGAAATATTTAAAATCGACGGCGTTGCGGAATTGGGCGAATTTGATTTACAACGTAACTGATAAAGCAGAATCAAAACAAACAAATATGAACCTTAGGGTATCATACGTTGAATATCAGACGTCTGCTTAACAACAAGAACAGCTGTTTATGTTTTGTTCTCTCTTTTGGTTGTTAGTGGCCGTGTTTACACAAACGATTATGCAATAACGCACCCAAGATTTATTCATAAAACTTGAACGGCCCATTTTGGAAAGGCCAATTTGTAGTCTTTTATTTTAGATTTTTAAAAATATTTTTTAAATATCCGAATCAAGGTGTGGATATTTTAAAACTAGGCGTGGAATTTTTAAAAATACTTTTGTGTTATAACCTGAGTTATCCTGGCTCCCAAATCACTTTACAAAATAAGAAAATAATTTAAAATGTAGGCTATGCTCTTTGTGCCAAATTTCAATTGAGTTTTTTTTTTTAATTTCAATACATTTCTTTTTCTACTATCAATTTGTATTAATTATTATTATTATATTTTTGATAAATTTTAACAAATGGAAGATACTAAATCAATCATTTTACCGCGTATTTTGAATGCGTTATCAGAACGTCCGAATTTAAGTGAGTATAAAAATGTAGAACCTCCCCATCAATTACTAAAAAAATATCTCATTTTAGGTGAAACTGTCGATAATCTCATTTTGGATATAAAAGATTATCTGGATGCATATGATGAGGAAGAGGAACACAGCATGGCCAGTGTTCGAAAATATCTAACTGATGCCATTAAGGTGGGTGAGGGATTGGGAATATTAGCTGTGACTGAGGATAACACAATCCGGATGCCTTTTAATTTCCGCCGTCAAAACGAATACGAAATGTCACCTTTGTTGAGGTCTCAACATACCAATGAAGAGGAGGAATTGGAAGAGGTGGAGGAGGTGGGTAGTGCAGAGGAGCAGCAGGATATTGTTATGCCTAGACGCTCGAAAAGAAAGCAGTTGCAACCGCAAAAGGTTTATTCTCTTCCTTAGATATTTATAACTTAATTTTGTATGATGGTTATTGCAAATTTAGATAACTAACGTGGTTCGGAATATTTTTGCGCAAATGGACGCAGCTGGAGGTCGGGGTACTCGCAGCAGAGGAAGTCGTGGTACTCGGGCCAGCCGTCGTAGCGTTGTTAGTAGAAGTCGCCCAGCCCCTCGAAGAAGTCGTCGTGCATCCCAGAGACGTCAATCTGCCAAAACCGGTCGTCGTATCTCCCGAAGACGCCGACACATGTCACCAACTCATATTTAAACAAATTATGTATCCATTTCAGTAGTCATGAAATAAATGAAAATTGGGTTCCGGAAAATTTTGGTTTCGAAAAAAATATTTTGAAAATTTTAATTTAAAAAAAAATAAATAAAATAAATTTTGGTTTCATTCTTTTTTTTTAATTTTTCGTTTCGTTTCAACAGATGAATCCTTACCAGCGGACCAGTAAAGTTAAATTGGATCCATAAACATGTCATTCTTCAACCGATACTAAATTTTTCATTTGATCAGATATAGAAGCTATATCTAAATCTGACCGAAAATATATATGGTAGCTATATCTAAATCTGAACCGATTTTCAGGAAACTTCACACACCTCATTCTATTTCAGGAAACTGCAAATCGAATAATATATAACACACATCGGATGAAAATATATATCTAGACCTAACACACATCATCAAATTTCGTGCAAATCGAATGATATATAGGGACTTTGGTGCACCATTTACATTAAATCGGATGAAAATATATATGGGAGCTATATCCAAATCTGAACCGATCTTCAGGAATCTTAACACACATCATTCTAGACCTAATTCATTGCGATCTGCCAAATTTCGTGCAAATCGAAAAATATATAGAGACTTTGTTGCATCATTTACATTAAATCGGACGAAAATATATATGGAAGCTAAATCTAAATCTGAACCAATTTTTCCCAATTTCAATAGGGTTCGTCCTTGGGCCAAATAAGTGACGTATGCCAAATTTCATCTAAATCGGATCACCACAATGTGGTGATGGGTATAAAAATCCACGCCTTGTTTTGGGGTATTGAAAAAATATTCTTTAAAAAATCCACGCCTTGTTTGGGGGTATTGAAAAAATATTCTTTAAAAAATCCACGCCTTGTTTGGGGGTATTGAAAAAATATTCTTTAAAAAATCCACGCCTTGTTTGGGGGTATTGAAAAAATATTCTTTAAAAAATCCACGCCTTGTTTGGTGGTATTGAAAAAATATTCTTTAAAAAATCCACGCCTTGTTTGGGGGTATTGAAAAAATATTCTTTAAAAAATCCAAGCCTCTTCGGAGTATTGAAAAAATATTCTTTAAAAAATCCACGCCTTGTTTGGGGGTATTGAAAAAATATTCTTTAAAAAATCCACGCCTTGTTTGGGGGTATTGAAAAAATATTCTTTAAAAAATCCACGCCTTGTTTGGGGGTCCACGCCTTGTTTGAAAAAATATTCTTTAAAAAATCCACGCCTTGTTTGGGGGTATTGAAAAAATATTCTTTAAAAAATCCACGCCTTGTTTGGGGGTATTGAAAAAGTATTCTTCTTCTTTTTAAAAAAATCCAGGAAGAAAAAAAATAATTTTTTTATTGAAAAAAATATTTAAAAACCATTATTTCGATTTCATTAATTTTATGTCTTTATTGAATATGTTTCATTTAGGATAAACAACCGGTATATATAATTATACGACAAATATGAATTACTTAAAAATGGAAAACAATACAAGTTATAAGACAAACACCAAAAAAGTATTGTTTTTTTATAAAAAAAATAAAGGAAAAAATAGGTACATATTATTTTCTTTTGTATAAAATTGCGTTTTAGAGCGCCTTTGAAGAAACTAGAAAAACTAGAATGAACTAAAATATCACGCTGCATCGGAAAATTGTGTTGTACTTCATCACTTTTTGCATAGAAAAAATACAACAGGGGGATTTTTTCGTTTCTAAATCCATTTGATTGAAGAAAAAAATTTTTTAATGGAATTCTAAAAATTTGCTAAAAAGTTCATTTTTGGAAGTTTTTTGTTTTACACAGCTTAAAAAAAAAAAGAAAACAACAAAAGTAGATTTTGATACAAAAAAGGTAATCAGGGGACCTGAAAAGAAGATTATAACAACATGTATAGAATAATTTATAATACCACAAACACACACACGCAACTATAGTATGTGTGTGTTCTTTAGAGCAGTATCGTTTTTTTCCCGCATTCCTTTGTGGTGGATTTTTTGCTTCTTGTTTTTTATTTCTCTCAATAATACCGATTTTCAATATTGGGGCTATGCGAATAGCAACCAAGCAATGCACAGAAACGCCAAATATAAAAATAATTTCGATAATTGTTGTTCATCTTCGTATTGGGTGGTACCACGATTGGCAGCTGAAAATATCAAAAAAAAAAAATAATTAAAAATTGAAACAGTTGTAGTAAATTTTTTGTATATTACAAACCTGCTGGTCTTGGTTCACCGAAATTCAAAGACGAGGTGAAATAACCAAAGGGAAATGCACCAATACCAAAAGACATGTGAAAACCATCGGCAAAACTAAAGCCCTGAAAACCCTGTTGAGGCTCTGGTTCGGTACGTTGGCCAGCTGGACGTGGTGGTACTTTGTTGCTGTGAATTGAAAAAAAAAAACAATTAAATCTCTCTCTTCCCCTCTCCCCCCCTCAAAACTTACCGTGGATCCTCCTGTTTGGTACTATTACGTCCATACAATGGTATTACCTTATCCTCACCAATGGCAGCCTTACAAACGGGACATAGCTTACGATTTGGCCTTGTCTCTAGCCATTGATGCAGACATGGCCAACAGAACAAATGACCGCACATACTGACCACAGCATCCTTGGCGGTGTCCAAACAAATGTTACACTCAAACATCGATTCTTCGACTTTTTCTTCATCCTTTTTATCACCGCCAGCAGTATTTTTATCACCTGTTGTTGTTGTTGTTGTGGTACTTCCTATGTTATCCTTAAGGTTATCACTGTTCAATGCACTTCCCGAAAATGAATAGGCTGTGGATGAGGCTGATGATGGTGAGGGTGTTGCAGCAAATTTTTCATTTATATTGGGTGTATCGTTCGTAGTTATACAGCCTGGGGATGTGGTGTTGTTATTGTTCGAAGTTATTGTAGTTGTGACCTCACTACTTTCGTTTGACGAAGACATACTGTTGTCATTAAAGGCTGCATTCCAGGCATCACCCTCAGTTGTATTGGTGGTACTGGTAGTGGTGATGTGTGAGGTTGTGGGTAATTCAGGTGCCGATGGTATCGGTGAATCGGTTGACATTCTTTCTTTTTGTATTGTTTGCTAGAGAGAGAAAAAACAAATTATTTAAAAAATTCACGCCTAATATACAACTTCAAAAAATAGGGTGGCGTAGGGGTGATAAGATAAACGTGAGCGTGAGCAAATCGAGATGTACAGGAGTCAGAATGAAGTCCTAAAATTCTACCAACGAGTAAAACGCCAAAACGAAGGCTTTGATGCAGGTACATCCTCCTGTGGAGATAAAGAAGGAAACCTGGTGACAGATACAGAACATTTTGAAAAACTTCTGGTATCAAATAGTAGCGGTGAAGTGGATACCCCAGAACCAATAATAGATGATGGTTAGAGTGTATACCACCTTGCCAAGATGGAGTCAGAATAGCAATCCAGCGCCTGAAGAATAATAAAGCATCAGGTACCGATGGGTTACAAGCCGAACTATTCAAGACTGGTGGTCGGATGCTGGTAAGGAGCATGCACCAGCTGATTAGTACAATTTTGGTAGAAGAATGCAGGCCCAATGATTGGAACCTCAGCATCCTGTGTCCCGTGCACAATAAAGGAGACAAGACGATATGTGCCAACTATAAAGGAATAAGTCTCCTTCCCATTGCATATAAAGTGCTATCCAGCGTACTGTGTGAACTACTGACAATGACATTATTGGACCATACCTGACAAATCTACCATTGACCAGATTTTCACCCTGCGCCAAATCCTAAAAAAAAAAACAGGAAAAACACATCGACACATTCCACCTATTCGTCGACTACATAGCCGATTCGACAGCCCTATCCGTTCAGAGGTGTCTGCGTTCGACATTTCTGCAAAATTAATTCGGCTATGCAGGATAACTTTAAGTGGCACAAGGTCAACAGTTAAAGTAGGAAAGGACCTCTCGGAGCCCTTTAACATCCTGCTGGAAAAGGTCATACGAAAGGCAAAGGTGAACAGAAATGGCACTCTGTACACCAAACAACACATGTTACTCGCCTACGCCGATGACATCGACATAATGGGTCGAACATTGAGAGCGGTAACAGCCACCTTTGAACAAATTGAAAAGGAGTCTGTCAAAGTGGGTCTGGAAGTAAATGGCGAGAAAACCAAGCTGATGGTATCAACGCGCAAGACTTCCAGTAGACTCGGACCAACTGTGGAACTTGAGAACTACAACTTCGAGGTAGTTAAAGATTTTATATACCTTGGTACAACCAGAAACAAAACGAATGGTATCAGTTTTGAAATTCGGAGAAGGATAGAAGATGTCCAACAGATGGTCTGAGTAAGCAACTCAAAAGCAGGGCCACCTCCTGCCAGACCAAACTCTCACTCTACAAGACGCTGTTACTACCCGTGCTGTTGGATCTGGATTTGAAGCATGGGTACTTGCGCAAGCAGATGAGGCAGCACTTGGAGTGTTTGAGAGAAAAATTCTCCGGAAGATCTATGGACCGATCTGCGTTGACGGTGAATATCGCCGTCGAATGAACCATGAGCTGTACCAGCTATTCTCGGACATCGACATTGTTAGACGTATTGAGCTGCAGCGACTACGTTTGCTAGATTATGTTGTAAGAATGGATGAAGATGCCCCAGCCTAAAAGACATATAAGAGCGAACCAGCTGATGGTTCACGCAGAAGGGGAAGCCAACGAATAAGATGGAAAGATCAAGTGAAAGATAAAATTGCCGAAGATGGTCTTTAAAATTGGAAAAACTGCAGAAAATACCGACGCGCCTGGAAATCTTTTTTAATTACTTAAAAAATCCACGCTTATTATAGGTCTCAAAAAAAAAAAATATTTAACAAATCCACGCAAGTGAATTTTCTCCTAAATCATCTCGTTATTATTCAGAGTGTGTGTGTGTATTCATAAAACAGATAAGTTTGGAAAATTTCGGCTAATGATAAGATTGTGCAAAATCAGCTCCTATTGAGATAAGGTTCATTATTTTTCTAATTAATAAATTTAAATAACAGACCAGCCTATACATACGCAAAAATATATTGTAACGTGACCTGGGTTGTTGGGCGTATACATTTCAATGTTTTGGCCAGACGGTTTATACCTAAGCCAGTAGAAATAATATATATTTTTTTAATTACAATTTCCTCATATTTTGAAAATCTCATCTTAAATCTTTTTCGTAGTTGTAGTTTATCACCCTAGCTAAATCGCTTCGAAAGCTGCCAAAATAAACTTAACTTGCAAATCATTGCCCTAGTTCAAAATTTTTGATATTTTTTTTATTTTGAAAAACAAAAAATCAAAACAATCGATGGATTAAAAGTGCAATGACGTGGTGTTTTTAAATGCAAAATCGAGGAACACATACGCATGCAGCAATATGAATGGAACGGAACGTAACGTCTGGTGGTTGGCTGATTTCTGTTTTTTGCTCAAGTCGGAAGATTCAATTACAGTGCAAAGGCAGCAAGTGATATGGAGGAGGGGGGAAGGAGACCAAGTTGTTTATTTAGTTCAGTTTGTATTAAAAATAAACTAACACTCGGTTCGGCCGGCGATAGAAATAAACCTTGGATATTTCGCCAACAAATGTGTTTTTGGTTTTTATACCCTCCCTCCACCATAGGGTGGAGTGTAAATTTGTCATTACGTTTGAAACACCTTGAAATATCCACCGAAGACCCCACAAAGTATATATAGGTATTCTAGATTAGAATGAGATGCTATGTCTGTTGAAATCACGATAGAAATCGCAAATTTCTTAGATAGAGTTTTGAAATATTGCACAGTCATTTCTAGTACTTCTAGGATGTTTGGTATTTGAAAATTGGATATATCGGTCCATGTTTTAGAATAGCCTCCATATAAGGGTACCTAAAAATTTCGGAATTTTGGGGATATTTGGCACGTTTTGGATCGGTTTGGCTACAATTTGGTATTTCGGTTCTCATTGGGTGACACATCTTCCTACCAAAATTTGTCAATATTGGGTAGTCCTCATATAACGATACAATCTAATATTCTCTATTTTGTAGATTTTAGGAACGTTTTACAGCAAATCTGGCTGCAGTGTGGTATTTTGGATTCCCATTAGGAGGCGCACCTTCCAACCAAAAATTGCCAATTTTGGTCCACATTTTGATATAGCCCCCATACAACAGTATCTCCAAATTTCGGTATTTTGCACATTTCGGGGCTCGTTTAACAACCGACCTGGCTGCAACAATTTTCAATATTGCTCCACTTTTTAGGTTCTCATTGGGTGGCATTTTAAATGGCCACCTCATTGTGGGGAGGATATAAAAAATTCGGCCCGGCCAAACTTAAAGATGTCTTTACGTATTTTCTTACTGTTTGATGGAAAGGGCCTTTTTTTAATCGAGTATTTGGACTTTGATATAGTTTTTTTCAGTTTATTTGCTTTTTTGCAAAACACAATTGTATGTATGTCACACACACACATGTTGTTGTTGTGAGTTCGTTCTGCTTTTTTTAATTATGCGCATCAATAATTGCAATTTTATTTCGCAAAACAAATTTTGCTAGTACATTCTCTGGGGGGTACATTACAATTCCGCAAAAACAAATCCACGCCTTTTTGAAAACACCAGCCATCACTTGCTTACCTCTTTCGTGGGTACAAAGCCGAACGGCCCTTTCACTCAATAATCATTTATATATTTTTTTCTTAACAAAATTCGGACTTGTTTTCTTTGGACTTATAATTAAATTAATATTTTTCTTTTGTTGTTGTTGGAGTTTTTTTATTTGCTTTGCTTATTATTATTGTTATTTTGCTTGTCGCGTAACTCTTGTCAGGTCGTTGTTGTTTTTGTTCTATTTTCCTCTAGAGACGACGACTTGTGTGTGTGACGTTTTTTTTCGTTTTCTCTCTGTCAGCCTTATTTGCTTTGCAAACACACACACTCACGCACACACAAACGAATGAACTCAATGTCAGTTATCTCAGAATAATTCTTCGGCTAATTATTTTTTTAGAGATTTATTTTGTAGTTTTTTATTGTATTATTGATGGATATCTTACATTTATTAATTTAAAATATAATTTAACTGCTTTTCGAGTATTTTTTTGCTTTTAATTTGTTTTTAAATTCCGTTTTTTTCTTAATTTACAACTTGTGACTAGTAGAGTTGGGTAGTTCCGGAACGAACTAGTTCATTGGAACTATTCCGAGAAAGGAACGAACGGAACTAGTTCCAGTTCTTTAATTAATATAATTCCTTTCTCTGATCCAGTTCCTTTTTTGAACTATTTAAAGCAAAGGAACTGTATGGAGCAAAGGAACTATTTGGAGCATAGGAACTATAAAGAGCAAAGGAACTATATGGAGCAAAGGAACTATATATGGAAAAACGAAAAAAAAATAATAAAAGAGAGAGAGAGAGATTCAAAAGAACAGTGGGAAGCCTCCAAGACTCCAGCCTTCATAAAATTCGCTTGTTAATCGTCGTTCTGCCAAGACTCAAGCGACGTCGTACGCAAACCTTCGCCAACAAATGGTCTGTTCCAGTACTTTTTATACCCTCCACCATAGTATGGAGGGTATATTAATTTTGTCATTCCGTTTGTAACTCATCGAAATATTCATTTCCGACCCTATAAAGTATATATATTCTTGATCAGGGTAAAATTCTAAGACGATCTAGCCATGTCCGTCCGTCTGTTGTAATCACGCTATCTTCTGAAGGAATTGAGATAGGGTGCTGAAATTTTGCATAGGGTTGTCTTTTGTCTGCAGGCAGGTCAAGTTCGAAGATGGGATATATCGGTCCACGTTTAGGCATAGCTCCCATATAAGGGTACCCCCAATTTTCGGTATTTTGGGGTTCTTGAGCGCGTTTTTCAAGCGAATTTGTAGTAAATGTATCCACAAAAAATTATAAATATAGGTCCACTTTTTCTTGTAGCCCCCATATAACGGTACCTCCTAATTTTCAGTATTTTTTGGGTTTTTATCGTATTTTTCACCGAATTGGCTGTAATTTAGTATTTTGAGTTCTTAGCAGGTACCAAATCTCTCCACA